TACGCAGGCCACGTACTCATTCGATGCGAGCCACCACGTGGTTCGCACTTAGGTGGAGTTCTTCTGGGACACCACTAACAATTTTCGCTTTCCTTGGGATAAGATGACTGTTACCCCAGCCGACTTCAGTCTCATCTTGGGAGTGGAGTTTAGCTCAATTGCGCTACCGTTTGACAGCTCCATCAGCGTTTTCTCTCATGTGGTTGACGAGTTGTTGGGTCCGATTGCAGTTCGGGCCCGTGCTGAGGTGGAGCCATCACGATTCAGCTCTAAGTGCATTCGCCGGTCGACTCTAGGGATGTCTTTTGAGGGTGATGCGACCACCCGAGAGCAGCGGGTGCGCATCTTTGCACTTATTTTGCTGTCAGGGACATTTTACCCTGACAAGGGTAGTCGGGTGCTGCTTTACTACCTTCCTGCTGTCCACGATCTTCAGCTGATCGGGAGTTACAATTGGGCCAACTTAGCCTATGCTGACTTTCTACGAGGATTGCGAGACTCCTCTCCACATCGGTCTTACACAGGAGACATCGCTCTCTCTCTCTAGCTTCTAGAGAGTCGTAGAGGTATACTTTATCTCTTAAAAGTTAGCTTTAAACTCTTGCTGATATCTTTTTTATCTTTGTAGATCTGGTTTTACGAGTACTTTCCTTCGCTTGCGCCGGCGAGACCATCTCCACGCGAGTTCCCTGTTGGCGCCTGTTTGGGTGGTGGTTTTAGTAACCAGACAACTACTGGCCGTGTTCGAGAGATGATCCTCTCGGTATGTTCTTTTGCATAGTTGACATCTTTATGTTGCTTTTGGTAGAGCTTTATCTTATAGACATTCTTTGCAGGAGCCTGATGTATTATACCAGCCATGGGGCGGTTTGGTTATTCCTGCGCTGGCTGCGCAGTACACTGCTGAGCGTCGCTACGTTCAGGGGACGTATGAGGCGGCGGTGTACCTAGGAGAGAGAGTTGCTATTCAGCACTCCTTAGAGATTTTTGTCATCCCTGCTCCTCCGCCACGCCACATGTTCCATGACGCGATGCTGCTTAACTTATCAGAGAGGTCGCCTGCTGGTACCCCTTGGCGATTTCATGCCAGCTCGGGGCGATGCTACGAGGAGGATCTGTTGGCGTTATTAGCTCCGGCCCCTGTTTTGTCTGAGGAGGCGACGGTATGATTTTATCTTTTTGCTAAGTAGCCCCCAAGTGGTATGTTATTCACTTTGGTTTGCCTTTTGCCAGACCGAGCCTACTGAGTTCGTTCCCCCTCGTATGTCCATCCGCTATCAGGGGACATACGAGCCTATTGAGGAGATGATCCCTCTGGCTCTCGAGGATCAACATTTCGTTAAGCGATCTATCCCTCGTCACCAAACTCGGGTGAGTTATTTATTTGTTGTTTGTTTATATTTGTTTTGTATTGAGACTGATTTTATTTCTTTGACAGTTCTCGCGCGAGGTGGTTATGGCGATGGCGAGGTGCATAGACGCCTTACGGAGCCAGCTCGTGCGGAAGAGGAACGTGGCTTCTTGTCGCCGCGACGACACTGTTCGGGAGGTAGCTTTTCCCTCTTTATTTCTGCATTGTTTATATTTCTATTTTCTTTGCATATGACTTGATTTCTTTTTGCAGGGACAACATAATCCTTCCCGTACTCGGACGAGACTTGAGGTTCCGAGAGAGCCGGCTAGGTCTAGATCGAGGCGTCGCCGCACTACTTCTCGTGGTTGGGGTGGCTGATCTGATGCTGCTCGGACTGAGGTGGTAGAGTGCTCGGGCTCTTCATCTGAGAATGCATAGGCTGGGCCGATGGGCCAAGGAGAGGAGACATCGGCTCCGAGAGTTGGTGGGACGTACGAGGCCGGCTCGTCATCGTAGCAGCCTCCGCAGCCTCAACCTCTGCTGATTTATCACCAGGGCGACCTTGGGTGGACTGGTCCTGAGTTGAGTTTCCCTCCTCCTCGTGAGACCTGAGCTGGTGGGAGTATACTCCTTGATCTGCACAATTCTTTAATATGATGAAAATTCCTCATCATTTGCATCCTCCAGCGCCGTAGTTGTACTTGTGTTTATTATTCTGACTTTTATAGGACTTTGCATGACTGACACTTTTGTTAGACATCTTTTGTATATACAAACTTTTATCTATTATGATTGTATTATTTCTTTGCATTTATTTTTCATTTTATGTGCATATGTGCGTGTGCAAAAATTGTGATTAATTTTGCGCAAAAATTTCCGTCATTTTTATTATTATTGGAGGGTATCCAACTTTCTCCCCCAAAAAGAAAAAATGAAAAATAAATTGAACTTAAAAAAACTTAAATTTGATTAATTTTGAATATATACAAAATGAAAATAGAAGGAAAATATATTAAATTAATAAATATGGGATATTTGGACAAAGGGCGAAATTGTAATGTCATTGTACGAATTCGATTCATAGCCAGAAAAAACGCGGTTTGCTTAGTGTAGGGAATATATTTCAAGCATTACCCCAAACTTGAACCCCACTGTGATCATACACTTAAGCATGGTGGCGTCCAAAGGGAAGAAAGCTAGAGCAAAAGAGTCGCCAACAAGTTTTAGGAACTTGTAAACCGTTCACAGGGTGAAGGTTACACCCCTTAACGATCCAAGAGATCGTTAACTCCAATAGGTCTGGAACCAAGACTAAAAGTTTGGGGATGAAGGTACAAATCCAACCTAAAAAATATTATGATGAAGAGGACATCCTAATCAATGCCAAACTTGGGAATAATTATCTTTCCACGATTTTTATCTGTAATCTCATGTAAGGATTTTTTTATTTTTTTTTTTGTAATTACACCATACAATATGTTGATTAAATTATTGTGTTGATTAGGAAAAGGTTAATTTTTATTATTTAACATAATTTAAAAAAGATCTTATTTGTTGGTGCTAAACTGCTAATTATGTGAAAAATAAATCTATAATTAATAAAAAAATTATAAATATGATATCTTATTTGTCGGATAATAGAAGAAAAAAAAAAGATAAAATATAAGTTTTTTTTAAAAAAAAAAAAAAACTAAATCACTAATTATGATGGACCCTCCCCTAACCCTTCCAAAATTCATTATCACTAATTAAGCATTTACCAAAGTTGCCGGATAAAACTTTTAACATTAAAAGATATATTTTAAAAAAATAATTTTAATCTTAAATCAATATTGGTATATTTATTACATGACACGTCAAATTAAACACTCATATCTCATTCGTGAAGATTTCTTATGGGGTAATTAATTATTTTAAAAAATTAAATTGTGATTTATTTTTTATTGATTGACTCTCAAATCTCATTCATTAATTTTTCTCAAGTGGTGATTGATTTTTTAATTCTAAATTACAATAAATTGTAATATTTTTTTTTATCATTTGTATACCTTTTTATATGTTATTTAATCTATCGGATATTAGAATAAGATATTAATGTTAAATTAAAATAGTTTAAATTATAAATCATTGTTCGTATTTATCTAAAGATAATTAAATAAAAAGAAAACTTTTAGTTTTTTTTAATAATTTAAATCCTAATTAATTACTATTCATTTAATTTTAAAATAAATACGAATTTAATTTTTAATTTGTCAAGATATTATTTTGCTTTTTTAAATAATTGAAATCATAAATCCTCTTTTTTTCAACTATGATTCGTTTGTAAACGAAAGTAAATTGTTGTTCTATACATGTATAGTTATAAAACTATTATATTCTTTCACAAACAATAACTTAGACCATCATTATTCTTTTACTCCATATCAACTTTATACAATGAAAAATTAGTAAAATAAACCCAAAACAATAAGGTAAGATCGAATAAAGATGGTGAGAGTAATAATAAAAAGATATGACTTTATAAATTTTTAAATAGTTAAATAAAAAGTATATACCAAGAATGTTGCATTACTGAAATTAATCTAATTGAATAAAATTAAATCTTTATAATGAAATTTCATTACCACACTACTATAATGATTTTACAACAATTATACATATATTCTACCAGAAACTATAATACACAAATCAAAATTATTACAGACATCTCTTACAATTTTTAAATTTTTTCCCTTATATTATAAGACTATATTTGCAAACTTACTTTTCCAATCTACACATTCCTCTTTTGGAACGGTTCTAGTAGAATCATTTTATTTAATTTAAAATTTTTATATTTATGAATTTCATTCATTAAAAATGTATGGATAAAAATCCTAATATCATAAGATAATTTTAAATGTTAACACTAAAGTTATCTTTTATTGTTTTATTTATTTTATGTGAAGCTTGAATTTAAAATCTCAAACCTTATTTACTCATTTTGCTTATGTGACTATTTAAATTTTTAATTCAAAAAAGAAATGACAAATCTCGTTTTTTGTTGATCAAAATAAGTCTTTTGCATATGTGTTTATTTAATATACTCGTTCGGTTTAAAATTTTAGTATCAATTATGATCGTTTAACTATTAAATGGGGAATTAGTCATGTGAGATTTAGTTTTATTCGTCTCGATGAGTACATTATTAAAATCAAACTTTTATAATATTTGCTATGGAGAGATTAATGATATTTGCGATAAAAAATTTACATCCATATATGTAAAAAAAGATAATTATTACTTAAGTTTTTTTTAGACAGAATACAATGATTGGTTTTTTTGAAATAATTTAAATTTTAATTACTCTATTCGTTGTTTTTACCTATGTGTCAAAATTCTTAAATCTTATTCGTCACTTTTGCTTAGGTGGCGCATAAATTTTTTTAATTCTAAAATAAATTAATAATCTAATTTTTCATTGGACAAAATAATACCTTTTCTTATGTGGCTCGCCAAATGCTCCCGAAAAATGCTTACTTTATTTATATGTATTAGATTAGATTTTATTAGTATTATTTTTGTATATTTTTTACACGTATAAAATTTGAAATGTATTCGTTTTAAGATATAACTTTAATCTGAAGACCAAGATATATAAAATGGGGAAAAATAAAATAGATAGAGGGAGTAATAGTTTAGTGCCATAAACAACATTATTCTTGTCAATATCTTAAAACTAAATAAACCAAATTAAACATGATTACCTATAAAAAAAACGAGACAATAAACTAACATAATTTGTTATATTTTAGAATTAATAGGGTATAATAGTTAGGCAACACAACAAGAATAGGCCAGCCAACATAGATTTAGGCAAAGCCATAAAGCAACTTGAAACTCAAGAAAGAATACAGGAAATCTCAACCCAAAAATACTAAAGATGCCCTTCATATTAACGACTATAAATAGAAGATGGTTTTTCTTGCATAATCATACAATCAAACAATAATCCTTCTCTGAGAGTGAGGGGTAGCTCAAGTGGCGATTCTCACCCCGCCCTTGTGGCTCTCTAAACACCAAAAAAAACAGTATTCCTTCTCTCAACCATTTGTTCTATTGCATAGCATTGTGCATAATTAAGCTTACTTCAAGGAAAAAGAATGGCAATCAAAACAAATAACTCAGCAGCACCTTCTTACGTCGATTTCGATCCTTCATGTGATTTGCACACAGAGGAAGGTCTTGAAACTTTGATCATCATCCTCCCTGGTATAGTTGAATACTTATCTTCTTTTCTTGTTTTTATGTTTTTGTTTCGATAAAGGGAATTTAAGAAGTAATTAATGATAGAGGTAATTATCACAATTTGGTTTTTGGCACGTACTTCATTTAATTTGTGTCTCAAAAATTAGTCAAAACAAGAAGAAATTTTCGTGGTAGAGGGAGTACTATTCCACTATTCAATCTTTCATGTTTTTTGATTGATATACATTCTAGTAACGTTAACCAGATACCATGCACTGTAAGAGCAATTTGTACGAGAGAAGTCAAATAGAGCAAGTAATTTGAAACAGAGTGCGTTTATTAACGTCAACTATTTACAGTGTGAGCATATACACTCCATCATTTCATGCATTGAATGGTAAAACTAATTGGGTTTTTTTGCCTTGTAGACTTTAAGAAAAATCAACTAAAGGTACAAGTTAACAAAGATGGAGTCCTTAGAGTGAGTGGCGAGAGGCCAACAAATGCAGATGGAACAAAGACGTGCCGATTCGTTAAGGACACAAAAATTCCAGAGAGTTGTGACGTAAACGGGATTCGAGCTAAGTTCACTGAAGGACGTCTTCATGTTATGATACCAAAGAAAGTTACACCTACGACTCCTCAAGTCGTCCAACAACCACACCCTGCATCAACATCTCCGGCTCCTCCTCTTCAAGCAGAGGAGGTTACAGAGGATCAAAAGTTGAAACAACCCGAGGCCACCACGAATTCGGACGACCATAAAACAAAGGATAACAATACAAGTGCTGAAAATAAAACAATGGCCGAGACACGTACGAGTGATGATCATGTAAAGGGTGATCATCATATGTTTGAGCATGGAAGTATCATGCAAAGGTTGCACTTACAAGGAAGAAGGGTGGCGTTGGGAGTTGGAGTTGCTGTTGTTACAATGGTAGCAATTGGAGCTTTTGTGACTTCTTAATTTAAAAATATGGGTTAATATAATTGAAGTTGTTGTTTAATTAAGTTGTATATGGAAGAGTAATGGGTAATCTAAGCTCTTCTTGTTGTGCATTGTTCTAAATTAATATTGGGTTAAGGGAATATGTATACATATGCTTGATTAAGTGTAAAGAAATTTCAAAGCATGAATAAAGAAATTTGTGATTAAATTGATGAAATTTCTTATGAATGAATGATTATAAAATTCTTTTTAATAGTAATTGATAAGGAGAATATTGTGGGATATACTTTGAAATATTTTGGGAATATTATAGGATATATTTTGTTACCTAAATCATGCCTAGAATGTCTTGTGTATATCTTTTAGGTAGTTTCCTAATTCTATCAAATTAGGGAATATCTTGTATTATATATTTGCCATGAGAGTAATCAATGAGATCAAGCTTTGATGTTTTATGCAATTTAACATGGTATCAAGAGCAGGTTGAATTCCTTGCGTTTTTTTTAACCCACAACAATGGCCGGAGATGATGTTCCTCCACCGCCACCCCCTCCAACAGAAATCAAACCCAACTCACCCTTTTACCTTGGGTCTCAAGATCCACCCGGGGATTTCATAACTCCTACTCACTTAAAATCTGACAATTATGATGATTGGGCTGCTGATATGCAAATGGCTTTGGAGGCTTGACGCAAATTTGGTTTTTTAGATGGCAGCATCACTGATCCTGTTGCTCCGTGTACACAATCAGACTAGACAGCGATCAACGCTATGTTGATCTCCTGGATTACGAATACCATTGATCCTGAGGTACGTTCTTCTATTTCTAAATTTCGTGAGGCTCGGTTTCTGTGGGAACACCTTAAGAAACGTTATGCTCAGACCAATGGACCTAGAATACAACAATTAAAATCATCAATTGCTAAATGTGAACAAAATCGTGATATATCTATCTCTGTTTATTATGGCAAATTGCATTCTGTTTGGCAAGAATTGGATCATCACAAGCCTTTAATATCATGTTCTTGTTGTACGAATTGTGTTGCGGGTTTGCTTGAGGTTCGGCGTGAACAATCAAAATTACATGACTTTCTTATGGGATTATATTCTGATTTTTATGCACCCTTGCGATCTAATATATTGTCTCAAGATCCACTCCCAAGTCTGGATCGTGCATATCAGTTGGTTGTGCAGGATGAACGGGTACGAGCAGCAACACCTAAGCAGGTTCATAGGCGCTATGAGGCTCTCGGGTTTGCTTTCCGTACGGTTGCACCTCGTAGCTATGATTCTTCTGATCGGGGTCAAGCTTCGGTGTGTGCTAAGTACAAAAAGGTGGGACATGAGACCTCGAAGTGTTGGTCAGACAAAACGTGTAATTATTGCAAGAAAAAGGGTCATGTGGAGGCGAAGTGTTTTGACTTACATGGCCGACCTCCCCCGAGAGATGGCAGCCAGGGGGGAAATATGCGGCTGGTCGTGGTCAAGGCTCGGTGAGATCCAATGCGGTTTCGGGTTCTAATGCTTCAACCAATAGCTCCTCTTCTCATGGTCAAGTTTTCTCTGCCGAGCAATGGAAAGCTATAACATACGGGATTGTTTGGTAATGCTAATATTCCCGAAACGCGATTGAATGGTAAGTTTGATGATACGTCATGGATTATTGATACAGGAGCCACGCATCATGTTACTAGTGAAAAATCTTAGTTGTTTGATACTAAGAGTTTCGATTGTCCTGTTGGTTTGCCTAATGGTCAAACCCTGGTGGCTTCTTTGGTTGGTTCGGTTCACTTGTCGAATAAGATTACTCTTACAGGGGTTCTTTTTGTACCTCAATTGAGTTGTAATTTGATTTCTGTGTCTCAGCTTATTGATGAGCTTAATTACATTATCCAATTTAATTCTTACATATGTGTTATACAGGACCAAACGAAGGAGCTGATTGGAACGGGAGCTAGGAGAGACGAATTATATTATTTTAGCAATTCGGAATCGGTGCATCATGTCGACATTGGTGAAGCATCCTCAACTTTGAAGTTATGGCATCGTCGAGTGGGGCATCCTTCCAAGAAAGTAGTTAAGTTGCTTCCTCATGTTAGTAGTAATAAAGATTATCTAGATAAGGGGTATAAAGTATGTATGTGTGCTAAACATCCTAGAAACAAGTTTCCTTTGAGTGATAGTAGGGCTTCGAGAATTTTTGAAAAAATACATTGTGATTTGTGGGGTCCTTAACGACATGTTTCATCGTGTGGCGCTCGTTATTTTTTGACAATAGTTGATGATTATTCTAGAGCTGTTTGGATGTATTTGTTGGTTGATAAAACAGAGGTTTTACGAATGTTTTTGGCTTTTGTTGCAATGGTTGATAGAAAATTTTCACAAACCATTAAGATTATGCAAAGTAATAATGGTACTGAGTTTAATTGCTTGCATGATTATTTTGTTGCTTCGGGAATTCTTTTTCAAACCTCTTGTGTCGGAACTCCACAACAAAATGGGAGGGTTGAGAGAAAACACAAACATATTCTTAATGTTGGGGGAGCTTTGAGATTTGAAGCCAATTTACCTATTTATTTTTGGGGTGAGTGTATTCTTGCTCCTGCTCATCTTATTAACCGTACACCCACACCCTTGCTCCAAAATAAAACTCCTTTTGAAATACTTTTCAATAAACCTCCTTCTTTTGATGCAATTCGTACCTTTGGATGTTTGTGTTTTGCACATAATCAGAAAACTAATGGCGATAAATTTGTAAGTCGGAGTAGAAAATGTGTTTTTGTGGGCTATCCCTTTAGGAAGAAAGGATGGAAAGTGTATGACCTTGAGTCGAAGGTTTACTTTGTTTCTTGTGATGTGAAATTTGTAGAGGGAGTGTTCCCATTTGATGCCCCAAATGATGTTAATATAGAGTCTACTTCCTATGATAATGGAGAAATACATGAGGATTTTTCGGAGTGTGTGGTTTTTTATGAAAATGTGGTGAATTATAATGATGGTGAAGTAGCTTGTGATGATGCTTTGGTGGTAGTTGATGATCCGGTGGCTGCCGACCACGACCCAGCTGAACCCGTGGCTGCCAAGCCAAGGCAGACCGCAAATGAGCAGCCCGCACCCAGCTTGGCAGACAGCTCCGCAGCCACCCCGTGGCAGCCTTCCATAAATCGCAGGGGGGCTGCGGAGGGGCCTGTTTTTCCACCACAAGCAGCCAGCCCCACAGCTACCCCGCGGCAGCCTGCCACAGACCGCAGGGGGGCGCGGAGGGGACTGCCTCATAGCGGCAACAACTCGAAGAGTAGTCCGACACCTACATTGAGGCCTTGGGTAAGGGCCAACGTGAGAAATTTCCGTCGATTAAGCTTCGTGATTATGTGAGTTACTCTGTTTTTGCTAATAATCCGTCTTCGTCCTCTCCGTCATCCAACACCCCTTCAGGTACGCCTTATCCTTTAGCACACTATATAAATTATGACATGTTTTTTGTAAATTATCGAAAATTTCTTGCAGCTGTAGTTCAAGGAAAGGACCCAAAATTATTTAAAGAGGCCATGAAATATGAAGGTTGGCGTCATTCTATGAAGGAGGAAATACGAGCATTGAAGATTTTTTAATGGGACTTGGACATTAGAGCACCTTCCTCCCATAAAGAAGGCTTTAGGTAGTCAATGGGTGTACAAGATGAAATTTTTGTCTAATAGTGATATTGAACGTCTCAAGTCTCGATTGGTTTTCTTTGGTAATCATCAACAAGATTGATTATGGTGAGACTTTTGCTCCGGTTGCGAAAATGACTACGGTGCGTGCTTTTCTTGCTATTGTTGTTGCTAAGAATTGAGAACTTCAACAAATGGATGTTTAGAATGCCTTTTACATGAAGATTTGGATGAGGAGGTGTACATGAAATTACCTCCTGGTTTTGAGAGTTCGGATCCGAGTTTGGTTTGTCGATTGAGAAAGACTTTGTATGGATTGAAGCAAGCTCCACGGTGTTAGTTTGCTAAATTAACTGCGGCTCTAAAAGGGTATGGTTTTCTACAATCTTACTCTGATTACTCTCTTTTTACATACACTAAAGGCACTGTTCAGATTAATGTCTTAGTCTATGTTGATGATCTTATTGTTTCTGGGAACGATTCCGCTGCATTGACTGTTTTCAAGGCTTATCTTGGTGATTGTTTCAAAATGAAGGACCTTGGTCCTTTCAAATATTTTTTGGGCATTAAGGTTGCTCGTATTAAATCAGAATTGTTTTTGTGTCAATGAAAATACACCTTGGATATTATTTCTGAAGCAGGGTTATTAGGTGCGAAACCAAGTGGTTTTCCAATTGAGCAAAACCACAAACTTAGCCTTGCTAGTGGAGCATTGCTTGTGAATCCTGAGTCTTATTGCAGATTGGTAGGACGGTTGATTTATCTCTCGGTAACTAGGCCATATTTGGCTTATTCGGTTCACATTCTATCACAATTTATGCACGAACCTCGGATTGAGCACTGGGAAGCCGCTCTAAGGGTGGTTCGTTATTTGAAGGGTACCCCGTGACAGGGTATTTTGTTGAGTACATACAGTGATCTGACTTTGCAGGGTTGGTGTGATTCAGATTGGGAGGCGGGTCCTCTTACTCGTCGTTCGTTGACCGGTTGGATCGTGTTTCTTGGTAAATCTCCTATTTCATGGAAGACCAAGAAACAACCCACAGTTGCTACATCTTCTTCTGAGGCTGAGTATCGTTGTATGTCTTCTACTACACATGAGTTGAAGTGGTTGAAGGCCTTGCTTTTGAGTATGGGTGTCCAACATCCTAAGGCGATCAAATTGTTTTGTGATAATCAATCTACTATACATATTGCTCGAAATCCAGTTTTTCATGAACGTACCAAGCACATTGACATTAATTGTCATATTGTTCGTGATGCCATTATAGAGGGCTTAATTGCTCCTTCCTATGTCTCTACTAAGGAGCAACTTGCAGATATTTTCACTAAAGCGCTTGGGAAGACTCAATTTGATCATCTTCTTTCCAAGTTGTGCATTTACGATCCGCATGCTCCAACTTGAGGGGGAGTTATTGTGGGATATACTTTGAAATATTTTGGGAATATTATAGGATATATTTTGTTACCTAAATCATGCCTAGAATATCTTGTGTATATCTTTTAGGTAGTTTCCTAATTCTATCAAATTAGGGAATAGCTTGTATTATATATTTTCCATGAGAGTAATCAATGAGATCAAGCTGTGATGTTTTATGCAATTTAACAGAGAAAGATATTGTTGTAATGGGACTTATCATTGGTAAACTAGTTTTGCTACTCAGACGACTTTTAAGGGGGTGATAAGGGAATTCCCCAACCCATATAACTATATAAGAACCTAAAACTTGATTTTAAAAATTTGAGGTCAAAAGGTGAAATCCTTATAGACTACACATGTGCTGATGTACTAATGTATGTAACTTATTATTGGCCATTAGTTTAGATATATTTTATGGAACATATTTTATATAAATTTGGGTGCCTTCCGCACATAAAGGTAGGTTCATCCAAGTAGAGCTTGCAAAAAGTCGTGCTGTGTCATATTTGTGTTCGATCTAGTGTCAATTTCGTATTTTTTACAAAATCTATCAAAAACTATGAATTTCGGATAATTGCATAATTTGACCACATTATCCAAACGGACCGTGTTCGAGTTGGTTATGTGTCGTGTCATGCTGTGTTGACTTTGTTTTTTCTCTCAGTAACTTCGTGTTTGTGTCGTGCCGATTTCGGTCGTGTCGTATCAGAGATTAAATGCCAACTCTACATCAAAGGTTAGGGGTGAAACAAATACAGTTCAAAATCAAAATCAAGCCACAAAGCAAACTGCATTATTGATCCAGTTCGGATTTTAATTTTAATTTTATTTTTATTATGGTTCAGTTTGATTAGGGAAATTTGAAAAATCCGGTTTACCAAACCAAAATTTTGACTTATATATATCTAAATTATAGCTCAATTTTGATTTTCTGTCCTACCTATATAAGACAAAAAAAAACCCCCCTAATTTAATCTTCTTCAATTTTATAGGTTTTGAAAAATCAAGCCCAAAAAAATTACAAATCAACGCCCATATCACTAGGATCAAAAATGCAATTTGGTCGCAAATTTTAAGATGCACCACACATACACTTTTGAATATTTGGTTTAAAAATCTAAACAATTACAATTTTGAACATTTAGTAAAAAAACTTGAACATCGCAAATTTTTACCATTTAGCATAAAATCTGAACAATCGCAATGCACCACACCTATACTTTTGAACATTAAGTAAAACAACTGAATAATCACAGGTTTTGAATATTAAAAAAAATTCTAAACGTTGCAAATTTTGACCATATAGTAAAAAAAATCTGAACAATCGCAATGCCCCACGCTTATAGTTCTAAAATTTTAAAGTGTGTTTCTATCCACCTGATTTTTACTGATATGAACTTATCTGGACTTATTTAAACTAACCTGAATTTATCTAACCTTATTAGACTTTATGTAAACTTATTTTAGTTGTAATTTGTACTTGGATAACCCTTATCAGAAAAATATAAAACCTGAACTAAACTTATCAGAACTTAACGGAACTAATTTGAACTTATTACACCTGAAATAAGTGAAAATAAGATGAACATAACAGAACCTTTATAAAAAAACTGAACAATAGCAAATTTTGAACATGTAGTATATTACGTACAACACTATATTATAAACATCAATTTTTTGAAAGATACATCCGACTCATAGTACAATAGTTTTGTAATATAAACTGGACATTTACATAAAAAATGAACATTTCTTTATAAATTATGAACATATAAAATTGCATGTTTACATGTGTACAAATTTTTTTTTACTAAATATTCAAAAATATAGACGTTGCTGCACATAATGACAATTGCATTTTGTTTTTTTTTTTTTTGTTTTTACTAAATGTTCATGCCGCATATGATGACAATTGCATTTTTTTTTTTTTTTGACAAAAGATGCTATTAAAGAAAAACAGAATTTCAACCTAATACTAACTAAAACAAGAACACTTAAAAACCTACACACACTAAGTAACATTGAAGATCGAAGAGAACTTAACATTTAAGGGTCTTGCAACAAGCTGCGAAGTCCGGACAACCATAAGAACCGAACCACATCCAAAATGTGGGCCAAGAGAAGACAAATGAACAGAAGCAGTCGAGATGGACCAAAAGCGCAGATCACTAACATTGAAGCTAAGAAAACCCTAGTTGGAACTTAAAGCGAAGGGAACTCGTGATGGAAATTGTTAGGAGACAGAAGAACCCGGAGTATGCACCCTGTAGATAAGGAATGGACTTGAGAAACCATTTCACTCCTAGGGAACAGAAAACATAACTGCATCCTAGGAGTTTGGGAACAAAACCTATAGAGTCATATACCTCAATGACTCTATGAGAAACCATGCATCCAAATGCAGGTTCTCCTCTTACAATTTTACCAACGGAGAATGCAAGAAAATGAAAGACTTTGCTTAACCCAAACATTAAAGATGGGTAGCCTCCTTCAAGATATTGATTAATAGCGATGATTGACCTTGTCATCACCCAAACTAACACAGGGATGATAGCAATTGACTGAATGCCCATATCATCCCCCCACAAACGAGAAACAAGACCTACAAACCAAACTCCTCCCTTAAAACCACCCTCCTCCTACAAACTCCATATGCAAGGAAACCTATCCAACTGCGCAAATAACTTCCCCCCTGGAGAACTATTTCACTACCAGGAGAACACAATCACACCTCGGCAAGACTACTAGTAGGACCACCCACCTAACGTAAAAGGGTTTGCTTAAACTTACAACCCTCAAAACCCAGCAACAAGGCTCCAAAGACCACGACAACACTTCGACAACTTCCAAAACTAGAACTACTTTAAGATACTCTAACTCAAGACTAAATAGAGAAAGAGAATTATTAAGCAACAACAACAACCTAAGCAACAAAACATACATCTTATACAAAAACATCATAATTAAACTAAAGCAAAGCTAATAACAACTAAAAGAAACAATCAAACAAACTAGCTAAAGAACAGAGGAGAAGCCCGTGAAAACCTAAAAAACCTCAACGGCAGCAACCCCACCCAACACCACGAACAACCGTCCACGACAACACAAGAACCTTTCACTAAACCGAACATTTGATACGTGAGGAAACCCTAACCTTAACTTCACCTTTATCGTCGGGAATTAATTAATGAAATTTCTTTCGACGGCGGCGTTAAAGCTAGCCTTTGGTTCTTGATTTATGGAAGCAAGCCGCAAAACACTAAAACGCAACCACGACCGACCGAAGAGGACCCCTGATTATACACCAAACGACCCAAATAATACAAAAATTAAAAGTAAGAACGGAAAATTTAAAGCTGAAAGTGAAAGACACGACAAGACTAGGCTAGGCGAAGCGCGCCAATCGCCGGCGAGCAAGGGCTGAGAAATAGGAGGGCGGTGGAGGCGGTGGAAGATAAGAATGAGGTTAGAGAGAGAAAGGGACGATAGAATTTTTTTTTTGTATATCGAATTAAAAACGGTGTGGTCTGGTTTTGACTGAATAGTAATATATATAGTGTGGTGCCGTTTGAAAAATCTCAAACCGTATCAATATGATTTGGTTTCGGTTTAGGCTATAAACCATACCATAAATCGAAATAAGGTTGTTTTTAAATTTGTTCATCTGATATATTGTTTATTATTCACTTCAAGATTATAAAATGAACAAAAAGTATTAAATGTGCAAAAAAATGCCCTTAGGTGCACACCTTGCACTCAGGTGTATACTTTTTTTTTATATTCCATCACGATTAGAAGATTTACCAATTGGTACCACTTTTTCTTTTAAACGTGCGGAAGGATTGTAGTAATATCATTCATTGGTGAATCTTTAATATACATCTGTTAAAACTTAATTATGTGCAACTTTTACAAAAAATGAATGCTAAAAATTATGTGCAACTTTCCAAAATATTAACTATATTTCTTAAAGTTCAACTGACTTACTATGCATGTGGGCAAAATAAAATAATTTTGATCACATTTTATGATTTATACAATAGAAATAAATTAGCATGTGAAATCTTGTTAGATTCACCTTATTATAAATTTTCCAAATAACAATGTTTAATAATTTTTACTTATACATTGCCGAAACTATTCATGATTAAAGATATTCATTAAAGACTGTGCAAATGCAAAGTAAGCCAAAATTTCAAGAACAGATGGTGTATATAAGATTACTAATTACATTATAGTAAAGCAAATATTCAAAGTATCGACCCAAGACATTATCCGGGCCAAATATTAGTTCATCCCTTGAAACAATATATATGCCAAAACCGAAAGGAGTATCATTTTTTGTTTTATACCGAGTTAAAAATGGCTGGTTTGACTTGGACCGAATAGTAATATGGTGTGGTAAATTTCAAAAATCTCAAAATGAATTAATATGATTAATTTCGGTTTAGACTATAAACCACACCGTAAATTGAACTAAGTTTGTTTTTTTATTTGTTCATTTGATAAGCTACCTATATTTTGTTTATTAATTTTAAAATTATAAAAGGATAAATTTGTCAAAAATAAGCCAACCTTTCAATTAACTCAAAATAAGCCGACTTTTATTAGATATCTTCTCAAAATGAGTCAAAACTGGTTAGATTAGAAGGTAACTGGTAGTTAAGGTAAAGAATGACATGTGTCATTATGTCATTGGTCATTCTTTTAAAAAAAATAATTAAGATTAATTTTTGATTAATTATTTTAAAATAAATTCAATTTACAATGAAATAAAAAGAAATTAAAAATTAAAAATCCCACCCTCACCTTTCCAGCGGCCGATGGCCGGCGCTGGAAGCTCCCTCCCCCGTCGGCGGTGACTCCGTCCCCTCCCTTCCCCATTTCCTTTCCTAAACCTAACCCTCGAAACCACCCCAATAAACGACACCCAACTCGTTTAGGGTGAGTTCGGGGGTCGGGTTTAAGGTTTTGGGGTGGCGTTT